AAGGTCTAAGCTATTAGAACTTAAAATTGCACTACAACTTTTGGAACACTCTATATAGGATTATATCAGGAATGGTGAGATTTAGTGAGAGTTTTTGTTTTTAAAGATGTTGGTGATGTGGGTGTGTCATATAGCAGAAAAGGAACCTGTAGTGTGAAAGAGATTGAAAATTAAACAGAAGGAATGATAGTAGAGAGAGTGTGCTGAAGAAGTCAGGAAGGATGGGATAGACAGGTTGACCTTGCCAATTAGTAGGTCCACCTCTTCACCAGAGACAGGAATATAAAAGAGGGAATGATGGAGAATGCTGTCAAGGTATTGTGAGATGATAGTTTTGTCCCCTCCTCTCTTCTCCTTCTCCTTTTCTTCTTTCATTCCTTCTGCCCCCTTTCCTCCCTTTTTCTCTCCTTTTTCTTCCCTTTTCTCCCTTTCCTTTCTCTTCCCTCTCCTCTCTTCTTTTCCTCCCCTTCCCCATTTTCCTCCTTTTTTCCACTGTTAACTTCTTCCCTTTCTTCCTCAACTCTTCCTATCCTTTCTCCTAGGTTTTTGTAACTCTTTTATTTGTTTGGTAATTGTTTTCCTGAAAATAGGTTCCCTCTGTGTCTGCCCATTTATTTTAAATTATGTTTTATTGATTCCTTTTGTTTTTTACTTCACAGTCGTTTCTGGAGAAAATGTCCCCAACTGCAGTGAGTCTTTACTTTAAAAATAGTTAGGTAAAACATACAGCATGGCATGGAATCTGACAATATGCAACATTCCCTGTCCATTGTCTCCCATCTTTCCAATGGAAGGAAGGTAGTGCATTTTCTCGCCATTTTTCTGGGGCCAAAATTGGTCATTATAATTGCAGAGCACATTCTTTTTAGGTTACTGTAGTAATTTTGTGCATTGTTTTCCTGATTCTACTAAATTCACCAGTTCATATCAGTCTTCCTGTGTTTCCATGAATTCCTTACATTTATAATTTCTTATGTTATAATAATGTTCCATTACATTTTGTTCATTTCACCAGCAATGAGAAACTTTGCATCCAATTTTTCATATAGCTCCATTCTTGATGTTTCTCTCAAGCTCCAGACACACATCTTCAACTGCTTATAGGACATCTGTACCTGAGAGTCCCACCAAAACCTGCCCCAAACTGTTCTCACTCTCTCCACCTCTAAATCTGCTCTTCATTGTGGCAGTATTATTTCTGTCAGTGGTTCCGTCATTCAGGGAGTCTCCCATTTTTAAAACCTTCGTGTTATTTTTGACTCCTCATTCTCTCTCACCCCTTGTATCTTGTTGGTTATTAGATTCGTTTGAGACTTCCTTTGCTGCCCTTCATTTTGCTCCGACCACTACTGCTGTCCTAGTCTAGATCTGCTTGAATTTTTATAACTACATAACAGTTCTCCTGCCTCCAATCCATCCCTCTGACTACTGCAACAAAAATTTATCTTATGTCTCCATCTGCTCATTTTACTCCATTCAAAAGTCTTTAACGTTTCCATATAGTACCTCCTAAATTAAGTTGGGTCTTTCATTCAGAACCCTAAAATCTGAAACTACTCTACTTTTTCAAGTTCTCCAACCTTATGTCATAACAATATTGTTTCCTACCACCTAATGTATGATTTACCTAAATTATGATAATTGCTTTCCCACAAATGTGCCCTGTACACAAGCATCTCTTTGATTTTGCTCACACTGTAATTTTTGTCTGGTTATTTCCCTCCTCACCTATAGAAGTCCTACCAATCCTTTGAAGTTGAACTCGGAGTCGATTTTGTCTATATGAAGCCTTCCCTAATTGCTACCCTTCTTTCCTTTGGAACTCACATAGCACTTTGTAATTCTGTGATACAGTTAGTTACTTTTATATTGTATTAAAGTAATTTGTAGCTATGCAGTAATTTCCTACTAGATGTTCAATGAAATCAGAGATTTATGTCTTATCTAAACTTCTCCTTCAGCACCTATCACAATGCTTTTGCAGGTAGGAAGCACTTAGTGTAATTGTGAAGAAAAAAAATGTTTCTATCCCACTATTTGTGTTATCTTCAATCATTTGATGATTGTTTCATGCATGTTAATCTTATCTGTCACATTAGTTTATAAGCCTTTTGTGAGTAGGGGCCATGTCATAGATTTTTTTATATTCAACAAAGTGCTAGATGTACAGTTGGCTCTCAACTTGATGATTGATTTTTATAAAATTAAATTTTTTTTAGTTTCATTTTTTCCAGTTATCAAACATTTCTTTTTTCTCCCTCTCAATGCAAAATAAATTCCCACATTGGTCATGTCCAAAAATGTGTATCTCATTTGGCATATTACTTCATCATCTCTCTGTCAGAAGGTAGGAAGCATTATTTATCATTGATCTTCTGGAATCATGAAGTCTTTCAAAAGGTTCATTTTCACAATGTTACTGTTATAGTACAAATTGTTCTCCTTATTTCACTGCCTCAGTTCATATAAGTCTTCTAAGGTTTCCTTGAAGCCATCTTTAATTTATTGTATCATGATAGTATTCTATTACATTCATATACTATCATTTATTCAACCATTTCCTTGTTGATGGGAATCCAGTTTCCATTTTTTTATCCCCACAACAAGTTGTTATAGATATTTTGTGAAATACTACATTGATAAATATCACAATCTCAAGAGATCCACTATGAAATTAAAAGAATTTCAGTAAGGTGTAAGAGGAAAGGGAATAAAGGACATAGATGCTATTATCAGATGAGACCAATGCTAATATGGCTTAATCTTTTATCTGGCAACCTTAGATATTTAGCCATGTTTCCCTAAACATACTCAGTTTCACTTGGTACCTCATTACAGAATTATCTTTCACAAATTTCTGTAAGCCCTTTTTTTTTTTTTAATTTTTTCCTAAGCCTTTTTTGAAATGGGTTCGTCCTTTCTCACTTCTTAGGGTAATAAATTTCATGAGCTAGATGGGTAATTTTATTTATCGTAAAGTAATTTCTGCAGCTTTAAGGCATACCCACTAGTATTAGTATTCTAATAGTTGGTATTTGTAAAGACTTTAAAATTCTAAATAAATTTGATTTATATATTATCCTTCATCCAAATGTTCGTTTCTTCCCTCAAACTGTTAGATTAGTCAGATTTTTTTTTTACCTCAATCATGTTATCCTTCCTGCTTTCTGTTATATTTAATGAGCCTCTCCTTGGTTATGTATTCCACCAATTTTCTGGTTGTGAAAGTGATACTAGTCCAAAGTGTACAGTATCTTGAGTATCCTCTGGAAAGTTTCTTATGGATGGGAATCACATTGGGTAGCTGTATGGCTTCAGCGACTTATTTATATAAAGAAAAAATGAAGAATGCTTTGGGTATATAGAAATGATATGTGTATGCTTGTCCTTAGGAAAGAAGTATAGAATTTCCTTCTGTTTTTAGAAAAATATTTTATTTTTGAATTACACATGAAAACAATTTTTAATATATCTTTTTTTTATTTTGAGTTGCAAATTCTCTCCTTCCCTTCCATCTCTACCCCCACATTGAGAAGGCAAACAGTTTGATATAGGTCATACATTTGCAGTCATACAAAATATATTTCTATATTAGTCCTATTGTGAAAGAAAGACAAAAAAATGGTGGGGGAAAAAAGAAAGTAAAAATATATATTATGTTTTGATCTATATTCAGACTCCATCAGTTCTTTCTCTGGAGATGGGTAGCATTTTTCATCATAAGTCCTTCAGAATTGCCTTGAATATTTGTCTCGCTGAGAATAGCTAAGAATAAGCACAGTTGATCATTGTATAATATTGCTGTTGCTGTGTACATTGATTTGGTTCTTCTCACTTCACTTTGCATCAGTTCATGATACTCTTTCCAGGTTTTTATGGAAGCATCTTGCTTATCATTTCTTATAGCACAATAATATTCATTACAATCATATACCATAATATGTTTAGCCATTCCCCAGTTGATGAGTATCTCCTCAATTTCCAATTCCTTGCCACCGCAAAAAGAGCTGCTATAAACGTTTTTGTACGTGTGGGTCCTCTTCCTGTTTTTGTGATCTCTTTGGGATACAAACCTAGTAGTGGTATTGCTGCATCAAAGAGTATACATAGTTTTATAGCCCTTCAGGTATCATTCCAAATTGTTCTTCAGAATGATTGGTCCAGTTCACAACTCAACCAACAGAGCATTATTGTGAGAATTCTCTTCCCTTCCAACTGTCCCTAGTTGAAGACAAGCCTAATCTAAGAAAATGGGTCTGGAAGACTTGTATATATTAAATACCTTATCCCATGCTAAGTGTAGAGTGTAAAGTTTCTTCATTATTTTAAGACTTGGAGAGTTCCTTATATGGCCCTTAAACTGAACTTAGTTGATATGTTACTGTGCCGGTCGCGCCGTGCACTCTCCTCCTATAAGGAGCAGGCTGCCGGGGTCATACTACTTACCAGTCTTCGGTGCCCACCCGGATAAACACAGAGACGAGCCGATCAGGAGGTGCAAACACTCGAGCTTTATTCAGAGGCCATCACAGCAAGGCCAAGTAGGAAAGCCAGAGCAAGAGAGCAGGAGCAAGAGAGAGCGAGCTCCTATCCCTACTGTTCCTTAAGTACCTACTTAGCCCCTCCTCCTCAGCCCGCCTACTAGTCATTGATTGTAGGATCAGATACCGGAAGGGGATATCTGGGTTTAGCGCTGCACCAAGGGAGAGGACGTGACGCAGACAATCCCTCACATGTTACCATGAGATACTTTTTAGTATAATTGCAGCTATGAAGAGTTCTTGAAATTGATTTTTGTTCTACTACTTTAAGGACTCTATTTGACTGCTTGCTCAGAGCATTACTGACACAATAGAGGTAAAATATGCTCAGACCTTTAGATATCTGTCATTGTATCATTTATTAAATGCTTAAAAGGAGTCAGATAAATGCAGATCAATCAAGATATAATTGCTTTTCTGTGTTTGACTAAATACTATCTTTCTTCCACATACATACAGGTTCGCAATACAGATCCCAATGATCCAAATAGAGAAATGGTTGTTCAACTTTTGGATGATTTCAAAATTTCAGGAGTGAATGGGACCCGTATCCTTTCAAGAAATTAACTATGGGAATGAATTTTGCTGTATAGTAACAGTTTCAGACCAGAGAAAAGAATGGTATTGGTACAACATATTTATTGTCAAACCAAGCTTCAATAAAACTGTTCTTCTTCAACTTCTGAGCACCTGAAAGGCATGTGAATTAAGAAAGTTATTGCATACTATGTTTTCACATGATGAATTTGGTTTTTTAGAGTACAGTTTGGAGAGAAGTGGTATGGTTTTTAGGTGTTATCCTTGAGATTATTGTTCCATTATCTTTCCATATCATTAACTGCATCATGTAGTTAAAACTTTCAACTAAATAGACAAAAAGATTTACACAAGAGGAAAGAAATTTTCAGGAAATTAACTTAGGTGATTCTTTTACCTACAAATTATAGCACAATCCAAGTATAAAACTTTTCTCCAAAGGAATCCAAATGGCAAATAATTTCTGAATATGAATCCAGAACTCTGGTTAGAGCAATCATTTATGTTTGAATACTTATAGCAATCTATGTCTTCATTCTAGCTGAAGACAGCAAGCTTTTTGTTGATGTTTGCATCCCTACGACAAATAAATCAAGTTTTGCCTTTACTTTATGGTGAGAAACTGAATTGTTTTATATTTTATGGCCCAGAGAATCATACCATTTTAGAACTGGAAGGGTTTTTAGAGAGAATTGGTCTTTGTAGATTAATATCAACGCTCCTGCCTAATGTCAGCATGTAAGCAAAAGAATAGTGAAGACCAAAAATCTGAATTGTTATTGCAGCATGGATATTTGTGAAGAAGTGAAATTGTTAGGGGTAAGGTAAGGATCCAAGGTGTAAAATCGTACTTATTCATTGTTTGAGGATCCTAAAAGCACCAACAAAATATTGAGGTCTTAATATAACTAGCTTTTGCATAGCACTTTTAGGTTTGCAATGTGTTTTAGAAATATTATTTCGTTTGATCCTCACAATGACCCTGGGAGGTAGGTACTGTTATTATCTCCATTTTATAGGTGAGGAAATTGAGACAGACAGGGGTTAAGTGATTTGCTCAGGGTCACACAGCTTGTAGGTATCCTGAGGTAGGATTTGAACTCAAGTCTCCTGTCTTCATTTCTGCTCCACTAACTAGTTGGCACAAATGGATCAAAGATAATGAAATGGCTGACATCTTACTAACTATCCATTTTTAAATTTCTCATATCAATATTTTGTTTTCACATATTACTGCAGTGAGAGTGATTATCTTTTCCAGGGAAACAGATCACAGACAGGACAGGGTAGGCGATTGGAGAAAGGGGTAAAGAAGGTGTGGTGACAGAAGAAGGAAAGAGTTTTTAAAGACAGAAGAGGAAAAGTATACACCAGTGTATCAAGTTTCTCGTGCCTCCAGGAAAAACTGCTTTGAGATCAGTTACCTCACTTAAGAAGCTTTAGTTGGATACTGAAGCCACCCTGTATGTAGTTTTTTAAAACAGTGCATCAGGAAGGGAGATGTCAAGAGAATTACTATTTGAACAGTTATGAAGGCCTTTAGATGGAAATTGTCCAGTGTTTAATTCATTTGGCAAAAATCGTGCTGAATTCTTTGACTAGTTAGGGAAGATATAAATAAAATGGTAGAATTATTCAGAATTTCATAATTCCAAATGATTATGCCTATTATTGCATTTCAAATTAAGCAAATGAAGATTCTTTTACAAGGTGCTAAAGTAAATCTAGAACATAACTTTGTTTGGAAGTTTGCTCACAGATATAATCCTGATGGGGTTCAACTTCAAGGGAGGAATTATACCCTTCAGTGACATTTACTTATCATTAATCATATCCACAGTTCTGCAGTTGTTATGCACACCCATTTTCTCTTTCTTCTGTCTGCCTCATTTTATCCCTCTCCCATTATCCATCTCTTCCTTCAATGTCCATCTCTGCTTGTCTTTCAGCTATCTTTACTTAAGACTATGTGCCAGATAATGTTTCTTTTCCCTCATCTACTACCCTGCTGTCTCTCCCTCTGATCTTCATCCAGTCATTCTTGCTTCATCAGTACTTTTTCCTTAACTATGTCATGTTTCAGACTTTGCTTCTCCCCTTAAAAGTAATATAGCATCAGTATACTTTAATAGCTTAATGTTGTATTTATTGCATTTTTCTTGGAGGCCTAGATAATGTCAGTATTAGGTAACTAATTTCATCACTGACAACTCTTTAGTCTTTAGAATATCAGTCAATCAAGCATTTACTGAATTACACCTACTATGTGCCTAAATGGAAAATGTATTTTATTTTTTCTCCATATCTCTGTGATTAGTATGCTTTCTATCTCTTGGTGTACCAATGTACCTCTTCTTTTACATCCTTAATCAACTCACAAGATATCTGTATGGTATTTGAAGTTTTGGGCCATCACCTGCTCAAGTGGATTATCAAGTCAAATTATCAGGGACTTCCACTTCCGTGTGTCAAAAAAATCATCCAACAAGTATGTATTCTGGTCTTAGTCATTTTGCTGTGGTCATCTTTGGTGTAAGGAGCTATCAGTTTCCAAGATCAGTTTATGTATTGTAATGAAAATGTGTTGATTTGCATCATCTCATACAAACCTGATCATTGAAGAAGAGTTAAGAGGAAATATCCCACCATCCCCACCCCCCCACAGCTTTGCAAAGGTGAGAGACTTTTATATAGGTGTGGAACACAACATAGAATGTATTACATTTTTTTTAATAATAATTTATTTGTGTTGAACTTTTTTCCTTCTTTAATATAAGGGATGGCCCTCTGAAGGGGAATAGGGGAGGGATATTTTGGAAAGTGTGGTTGATGTAGAAAACAAAAGATAGCAAAATTTTATCTTAAAAGTTAATTGTAATATTCTAGGATAATATTTCAGAGTAGATAAGGACCTTAAAGATCATCTAAACCAGGGATTCTTCAACTGAGGTCCATGGACCTCCAAGGAGGGGCGATTTCAGAGGTCTGTGAATTTGCATAGGAAAAAATAACATCTTTTTTGCACTAATTTGGCATTTCCTATGATTATGAAAGTAGGCAACAAACATTAGAAGGGAGTCTTAAGATTCAAAAAAGGGCTAGGAACTCCTGATCTAATCCAACTCATACCCATATGTTTTTACAAATTAAGAAGCTATGATTTCTTTATGTGAGATTACTTGCCCAAAGCATACAGGTAGTATGCAACTGAGCAGGGGGGAACCTAGGCCTCTTGACTCCAAAACTGATATTCTTTACATGTAAAGCCGGTGCTTTTAAAATATATTATTGAGTCAGGTTTCTAATTTGTCTACTTTAAAATAGGTATAAGTTTATTACGTACCTTAGAAATTTATCCTGTGTATAAAGTTTTTGAATAATGAGAGGAAAAAGTAGGGATTTTCACTGTTACTTTTAGAAATTAGAGGGTGTTCCTTTACAGAAAATATTAATTTCTTTTATAGAAAATAATGGGGGCAGCTAGGTGGTGCAGTGGATAGAGCGCCGGCCCTGGAATCAGGAGGACCTGAGTTCAAATCCGGCCTCAGACACATAACACTTACTAGCTGTGTGACCCTGGGCAGGTCACTTAACCCTATTGCCTAACAAAAACAAACAAAAAAAACAAAACGCGAAAATAATGAACATATTCATTATATCTTACTGACGTGTTGATATATTAAATAATTGTAACTATCAATTATTAAAACATCCTTATGTTTTAAAAAGGTTATTGGTGCATTTTGTTTTAGCGCAGAAAACATGCCTAAGCTAAATACGTTCCACAGCACATTCCACTCAAAACAGTATGTCAGTTGTTTAATGGGAAAGTTACATACTTTCATGACAAAAACGGATGGTGCCAACCTTCTGTTGCTATTATTTGAGTTTCATTGTTTCTTAGTATATAGTACCATTCTTTAAGAAGATCAAAGAACATTGTGGATATTCATCAAATTTTGTAGTATTCTGGCCATTTAAAAATCCTGGATAGAGAGTTTTACAGCCATGGGAAACTAAGATGCCCAAAGATTAGAATGCATTGTGAAGGGGGCTATAGTGGAAGTGTAGCACAGGGAAATAAAAAGACCTCTGTTCTTGTTCTGGCTTGGTTGCTGGTTAGTTCTGCTACCTTGAATATACCTTGAAGAATACCTGTCTTCATTTCCTCCATACCTCAGCTTCCTTTGTAAGATGAAAGGGTTGGATTAGATCAGGTCTAAAATTCTTAAGCCATTGGCAGGTCTGGGAATTCAGTCTGTATCCTCTGGTGCCCCTTCTAATTTGTGCAAGTAAAATGAAAGACAGCAGGCACATATGGCATTTTGAACTTGAACTACCACACATTGGCTCACATGCCCTGTCACCCCTGAAATACATTGCCAAACAGAATGGGTTAGAAGAACTTGTTAAGAGTTCTTTGTCCTAAAATCCTTGTCATTATTACTGCAATAATATTTATTTTTCTTTGTGACTATTTTAAACCATTAATTTTATTCTCTGTGGTTGAAAAATCATATGGTACAACGTTCTAGGAAATAATTTCTTGCACCACCCTTTAACCCCATGTCTCTATTGACAAAACTTCTTTTCCTCTTCTATCTCAGGTTCTGCAGGGACTGGATTATCTACATACCAAGTGCCGTATTATCCACACTGACATCAAACCAGAAAACATCCTTCTTTCGGTAAATGAGCAATATATCCGAAGGCTGGCTGCAGAAGCAACAGAATGGCAGAGATCTGGAGCCCCTCCACCTTCTGGCTCTGCAGGTTGTGTTTCTTTTTTTGAATCTGCCTTTAATAAAAAGTTTACAACATAAAGTCTTATTCTCTTTTCTTTTACAATATAAACATTCTACACTATGTAGGGAAAAGTCTTCTTCCCGTCCTTTTACAATGTAGAACATTCTGAAACCCATTTAAATGACAACAAAATAACTCTTCCTTACAAGAAACTAAAAAAAGAAGGGGCCATTTTTACCAGACTATTTCCTTGAAAGTTCTCACAAATAAGCTTAGAGAGACCCAAGCTGATTTCTTATGATTGCTCTAAGACGTTTTAATTCTCTTATGATCTAATGTTATATTAAATCTTGCTTTGTTTGTATCTTACCTTACTACGATGATTTACATTCTTAAGGAGTAATTGAGAGTTATCTGTAGCACTTGGAGTTTATGATTGCTGATTGTTTAAATAAATTTCGAGGACCTTCATATTCAAGTTGAAGGGTTGCTCCTTATCCTTAGGTTGAATGGAGACTTAACCTTGCAAACCTTTTGCCTAATTGAGAGTACTTTTTCCTGATTAAGCTCAACTAAAGGTGTGCAACACATACAGTTCTGCCAGTTAATAACTCTTTTGGGACCATTTGCCTCCAAATTGGTTTTCCAATAGTTTGTGATCGATAACCATTAGAATTGTTTTTATCAGAGACTCTTTATCGTAGGTCACAAATGTGCCCAATGGAGAAACTCCGTGAATTTTGTACTTTTTAAGTATAGGTTTTACCTTATATTTAGTGTTTAAGTCTACTCTCATCTTATGTTGGCAGCTAAATGATGTCAGAGGACTTCCTAAACTTCATTTTTCCTTGGCTATTGTTTCTTTCCATTCCTTTTTTCCTTTTCTTCCTTTTCCTTCCTTTTTCCTCCATTTCTTTTCTCTCTCTACCTCAGCCTAGGAAAAATTTTTATTTTTAAAAAAGTCAAGAAAAACAATAGTAATATGCAGTATTTGGTTGTTAAATACAGTAATACAGCATATGCATAGGCAGTTGCTGTTCATTTTATTTATATTAAACAGATTTTTTTCAAACATGTACTCCTCTGTTAATTCTTTCCCAAATATGTGATAGACATTTCTGGTGCATAGGGTTTTTTTGGTTCATGATACCAATGTACATACTTAGATTTTATTTTTGTTTCTGTTTTTGTTTTTTTTTCAGTCAGTACTGCTCCCCAACCTAAACCAGTAAGTATGATGTATTTATATATTTAGTCTATGGTCATGGAAGTTTTTCTCTGGGGTAATGGTTTGGTTGTATTATAATCATTCAAAATTTTCTGTCCTTACTAAATGTCCTTTTGCTGCCTCACATGCAATTTGTGTTGTCCTGTTTTCATGAGTCATAGACAAAAAATAAAAATTAAAAAAAAAAAACAGAAGATTTGGTTCATTCCAAAGGCCAAGATTTGTACTTGTATTCAGGGCACCATTCTTTAAAGTGAATGATAAAGCTATATTGAGAAATACTTTGTTGGAGAAAGTGAAGTGAGAATTAAGAATCAATACTAAAATTAACAGATTACTGTGTCTGTGGTAATAGGTTAGTCATTGTCTTAGAGGATTTTCTTTCTGTAATCTCACTACAGGCAGACAAAATGTCCAAGAATAAGAAGAAGAAATTGAAGAAGAAGCAGAAACGCCAAGCTGAGTTACTGGAGAAACGAATGCAAGAAATAGAGGAAATGGAAAAAGAGTCAAGCCCTGGAGAGAAACAGCCGGAAAAGCAGGAAGACACTGGGAGCCCTGTTGAGAGAGCTTTGACCGAGAACACTCCAAGCAAAGAAACCGAAGAAAAACTTGGTATGATCCAGTATTCACAAAAATAACATTATAGGGGCAGATAGGTGGTGCAGTGGATAGAGCTCTGGCCTTGAAGTCAGGAGGACATGAGTTCAAATCCAGTCCCAGATACATGACAACTTACTAGCCGTGTGACCCTGGGCAAGTCATTTAACTCCGATTACCTCACCAAAAAAAAAAAAAAATGCCAATAATAATAATAATAAATAATATTATAATCAAGATAATTTCTCATGTTGCATTGTTGGGTTCTGTGAATTTTCAGGTTGCTTTCGATCTTAATGCTGAATTTGCTATAAGACGTAAGCAGTTTATAGTTTTGGCTGTATAGTTCAGTTTCACCATCTAGGGTCTTGGGAACCCTTTAACACTCTTAAAAATTGAAAACTTTCCCCCAAAGAGCTTTTGTCTGTGTTGGTTATATCTATCAATAATTGCCATATTAGAAATTAGAACATCTTAGTGTTATTACGAAAATAATTTTGACCTTGTAGACTCCCAGGGATCTCCAGATCATGCTTTGAGAACAGCTAGTCTCCAATGCTTCTTAAATTGTGGGTCACAACCCCAAATGGGGTCACAACCCACAGTTTAAGAAGCACTAAAGGGGTCACGAGTAGAAAAAGTTTAAGAAGCTTTGATCTAGGCTGTTGATTGGTATAGATGATGATGACCTTTTTCTTTGATGAAGAGAATTTTAAAGTTCACTTGTGTTTTCTTATCAGGCTATAGGTATTATGAATGATTTTTTAACGTACTTGTTTCTTAATATAATTTTCTCTTCTGTTCTTCCTTTTTTGCATTTATGGTTGGTTTCCTAGAAGAGGAAAGTGTCATTGTCCATGAGCAGACCCTGTTAATGGAAGGCAATACTGAGAATATTTCATCAGAAATCAATTGCAATGGAGTGATTGAAATAACAAATTATATTGAATGCAATAATGAAGAGTCAGTGAGGCTTAAGGAAGATCATCATAATGCCAACGACTGTGATGCCCAACCTTTGAAAGAGGAAGAAGTTAGCTTCCCAGGCGCCCAAAATGGCAAGAGCAGTATATCTCAAGAAATAACAGACTCTTGTACAGCTTTAAGTTCTGGGGTATCAGAAGCCATGCTGTATCAGCCATCTTCAAGTGAAGATCACTCAGTAGAGCAGTCATTCAGTGAGCAGGAGATCAGCCATCTGCAAGAGAGCATCCGGGCAGAGATACCCTCTGAAGATGAAAACGAAAATAATGGACCATTGGATAACAAAGGTACCCAAGGTAGCCCAAAGAGTGTAAAAACGCTTTTTTTTCCTTTAACGACAACATTTGTTGTTCCTGCTGGAGCTGAAGCATAACCACCTGTGCTGTCTCCCAGAGGTGAACACAGAAGTTGCAGAGCCAGTTGCAGTGTGTAAGCAGCCAGCTATCAATTTCAAGGGTTTTCACCTTCCACCAGCATGATCTCTGAAGGGGGCTACAGAGAGGGGATGTTTTTTCATTGAAAATGAAATGTGTCACCTGTCATTCAGGGAAAAATAGAACCCGTTGAATACTTGGTGGGTGTGGTAGTTGCTTCCAAGGTAAAGGTGTTGAGTTCAGGATTCAGAGGCGTTCCAATTCTGTGCTCCATCTTGGTGAGAATTATATGACAGATGGTATTGTTTCCAGGTTGATAATTATTATTCTTATTAACTTGTACATATTGTCTTCAGGAAAATCTTCTGCTGGGAATTTTCTTCTTAATCCCCTTGAGCCCAAAAATGCAGAAAAACTCAAAGTGAAGATTGCTGATCTCGGGAATGCCTGCTGGGTGGTGAGTTGAATGTGCAGCCTCCTGATAGCCCTCTTATCTTCTCTAGGAAGATAACTTCGACCCTCTCGTGAGTTCAGGTTCCTTCTCTCTACCACCTGTGAGACACTTGCAAAATGGAGCTCATCTCTCCCCCTCAAACCATTTCTTATCCTTGACTCCCTCATTTCTGTCTGGGGGAGGGGGAGAGATATCATTATCTAGATTCACTACCTTAGAGTCATTTTTATGTCTCTACTCTCATTGCTCTTCCATATCCAGTCTGCTGCTAAGTCTAATCAATGATGCCTCTTTCGTTTCCATTCCCAATTTCTCCACTCACAGCGTAGCCACAGTGTGTGGGCCCTCCTCCCTTCTTACTTGAACTAGCCTTCTCACCAGTGTGTCTCTCGGTAGCCAGCCTCTCTCCTCTCTTCAGTCCTTTGTCCACACAGCTCCCAAACAGTGATTCCTAAGGACAGGTTCTGGCAACCTCATGCCCTGATCAGGCTTCTTCAGTGGTTTTCTCTTGCCTCCAGAATTAAATAAATTCTTCTGTTTGGCAGTTAAAACCTTTCACACTCTATCTCCAACACACTCCATCTCTGTCTTTCCAGAAACATTCCTCACCTGTATGTCCTCTACGTGGACGAATTCCAGCCAAATGAGCATCTTTGCTGTTTTTTCTCTGTACGTGATATTTTGTCTCCTTTCCTCCTCCCACAATGTTCCCCCCTCTTAGAATCCCAAGCTCCCCTCAAGGCTCAGCTTAGGTACTCACAGCTTAGAGTCTTCCTTTCCCCTAGTTGTTAGTACTTCCCCGGCCAAAAAAGAAAATTTTTTTTTTACTTTGTGCTTATTTTTTATCTGTTGTATATAGTTTGTATTTACTTACATGTGTTCATACCCTCACCCTTCCTGCCAAATGCAGACTCCTTAAGGTCAGGGCCCATATTTTATCCTTTTGTCCCCAGCCCCTAGCACCGGGCCTGGCACACTCTTTGTGCTTGACAAATTCTTATGGAATTGAATTGAGGATGTTTTGAGTTTGACTAGTGGTGAGGGAACTTATAGTGAATTAGCCGCTTGTGCATTGTCCTTCCCATTTGATGCGTAAGTCACAAAATAATTGATTTTAAAAACACTTGCTTGCAGTTTGACATAATAAACTTAGTACAGAGGCATATAAGACATTTAAATACCTACTATGGGCAATCCTGTAATACGCTGAGGAAAGAGCTTAGAAACTAGCTTATCAAATCTTGATAGCTTGGTTTTTTTTTTGTTTATTTGTTTGTTTGTTTTAAATACAGTGCAAAACTTACGTAATCCTAGCCCACTGCTCTTAAACACCTTACTTGATGTACACATCTACTATTCAAGACTTTAGTAATTGTCTTCGGGAATGTCATGCCCAAGTCTTCATCTTGAGTTCTTATCTCTAGTTCCATGTCACCTAGTGTATCTCTACTTGTATGTTCTACCATCACCTCAAACTCAGTATGTCAAAGATTGAAATGATCATTTACCCACTAAGACCAGCTATTCCCAACTATGCTGTTAATGATTGCCACAATTCTTATAACCTCCTAGGGTCACAAATTCTGATACCCTGCTGCCTCAGAGTTGTTTTAAATTCGTTCCTCTCCTTTGTCCTCATATTCAGGAAATACCAGGTTACACCCAGTGGATTGTCAGATCTAACCAATTTAATTTCTGTTAATATCTCTTAGGTTTGATTATGTGATGATTCTTTGATTTGTGATTCTTACTTCAACTCTTGACCATCACACCTCTGCCATGTATTACTGAAAAGTCTTTCTAGCTAGCGTTCCTGCCAACACAGCTGCCATGTTAAACTTGCCCATAACACCATTTTCATTGAAGAAGAGTCAAGATAGCTGTGAGATCAAATTGAAAGTCCTCAGCATGGCATTCAGTTTCCTTCACCTTATCTTTTCTCTCTCTGTTTCTTCCTCTCCCTGCAACCTTTCTCAGCACATCTTAATCCTGTACCTCCTTCAAGGCTCAGGTCAAGACTGTCTTCCTACATAAATGCTTACTTGGACCCATAGTGATTTAATCCTTATTTTAATTTCTTTCTTCACTTGTATATCTATTAGCATGTTATCACCATTGATTTCAGTAAGACTTTAGGTTTCCATGTGTCATGTATTTGAGGAATCTAAAAAAAAAGGCAGCATGTTTATTCCCAACTATTTAATCTAAATTTGTATTTCTAAAGAATAATTCTGTTTAGAACTAATAAAACCAACATGTAATTGAAGAAATGAGAGTAGATAATGTGATACAGTGGAAAGAGCCCTGGAATTGGAGTCAGAGCATCTGGGTTCATATCCCAGCTCTTCTACTTGATCTCTGTGTGATATTAAGCAAGATACTTAACATTTTAGGAGCTCAAATTCCTCATGCTTAAAATGATGTGTTATGCAGTTTCTCCCGGCTTGTGCCTATGTAAAACTTTATTTCAATAATCCACATGTCACTTTGTAAGAATTAAATGAATTTTAATGCATTTTTCCCCTTTTTGCTTTATTTACCTCAGCACAAGCATTTCACTGAAGATATTCAGACAAGGCAGTATCGATCCCTGGAAGTACTAATTGGATCTGGTTATAATACTCCTGCTGACATTTGGAGCACAGCATGTATGGTAAGTTTTGCCATTCCTTGGGGTGCTCTGTTTGGCTATATATTTTGCCCTAAAATGACAGACAAGTCAATCAAAATAAGGATGTGGTGGTTTATGACGTAACTGCTGACATTGAAAATCCAGCATCTAGTCATTTAGGTTTGGATCTAAAAGCAATATCAGGAATATCTGTTGTGCGCTATTCACTGCCTTCTGAGGTCCCATTAAGATGAAAAAAATCAAATAAATATCAGCTGGTGAAGCAGTTGCAGGGTGGGGGAGGTGATTGCAAAATTTGGTTTGGATGCTTTTGTTATCTCTCTTCCTCCAGCTCCACGTTCTGAAAACCCTTACAAAAGAATTTCCACCTTCCTGAGCTGCCTGCCAAAAATATAATAAGAGTTCTTTGTAAGGTTTTATCAGTGAGTATATTTAAGAGCCACAACACTAATATGGTCGACCCTCAGGAGTATTTAATTGCTTGGCTATAATTATTAGTCAGTTTTTAAAGTGTCACTAACAGGCATTGAGTTTTTAAGAATGGTAATTAACAGTGGAGGTTTAAGAATGTGATATGATGGTAGAAAGATGTTCTTTCAAAGCATTTCCTTGAAGGTGAGAATTCTTTTTTGTAGAAAGACACAAAGAATAATGGTAAATAATAGAATTTTAAGTGTTTGTAAATTCTGTTGAGTTACTAGTGGTGATGTAAATTATTTATTTCATCAAAGGTGTGAGAGGTATTGCCTCAAACCATCTTGGTCATTTTGGGAAAACTTTGAAGTTTCAGAATTGTGCTGCTAGAACAGAAAAACTTCCTTCTACACAGAGGAAATAAAGCTTTGGAGATCTGAGTGTTGCAGAAGATGGAGATAATGCCACTCCTGAGTTGATTTGATCAGTCAGGCCATTTCTACTCATGCTCTGACTTTACTTCCCTCCCTCTCTAATCTTGACCCTGTAGTTCTGCAATTCAACACTACCCTACATTCTGGAATCCTTTGTCCCCTTTGTTCATCCCTAGCCAAACATTAACACTGGTTACTCCCATTATCTGACACTTCCACTCCAACTCCTGTACTTCTAAATGGAGATAAAGGAAGTCATACAACTGTGCTGAATTGGCTACACTAAATTCATGTTATCCAACTTAAGCTCCAATATACAAGGCAATCGATCCTTTGATTCCCTACCTCACTCCCACAAAAGCTGTTTTCAGACCTTCTCTTCTCAAACCTCCCACATCTCTAGCTCTTGCCTTTTACTGAGGAAAATTCAACATGAGTGCCTTGCTGCCCTTATTTTTGTCAAAATCTCAAAACCTCATGATATCATATCTTACTCTCTCCTCCTTTATCCTAGTCTGTAACAGAGATGTGACCCTTCTCTTTGCCAGTACTATAACCCCTCTACATGTGTCCATGTGCATGTAGGTTCAAATCCTACCTCTAAAAACTAGCTGCATGACCATGGGCAAATCACTTCCTCTCAGAGTCTTAGTTAAGATACCTCTAATTGTTGTGCATTTTTCTTTGTGTATTATCCTTAAACCTGATTCTCTTGATTTTTTTTTAAACTCATCTGATATGTTTCTACCCACTGAAGCCAAACAAAATAATTCCACTCCTTTGAGATGAGAGTGTTTCATATATTTGAAGACAGTCTTTGGGTTATCTTTTAATTTTTCTCTAGACTGAGCACCTGTAATTCCTTCAAAGAGTCCTTGGTTTTGAGGCTCTTCAACATTCTGATCACCATCTTTTGGACATATTCGAGCTTATCAGTGTCTTTCCTAAAATCTGGTACTTGAATTAGTACTGAAAAACTTGTGCTTGTGATTGCTCCAAATATCATATGACAAGGAGCAAAATAAAGTAATATGATATAATAGCTAAAACAGCTAACACCATCTTCAGGATGTATTACTTGAAATATAGTGTCTAGACAGGAGAAGTTAGGACTTTATTCTTATAGCTGTTTAAAAAAATTTTCATATCACATAAAGTCTGTTCCAACCAGTTATGAGCATTTGGATCCTCCAGAGTAGTAGCTAACCCTGCATGTCATCTTCAGATGGAATAAACAAGCCACATATGTGTTCATCGAAGTAATAAGTTTTACAGGGCTGAAGTAAGATTAGTAGGATACTTCATTTAAGATCTCACTTAAGATGTCCATTAATTGCTGTTCTCTGCTTACAGTTATTCAGCCCCTTCAGAATTCAATACACTTAATTATATGTACTATCATCTAGTCTACATCTTTCTATATTTTCCACAAAGATACCATGAGTAACTTTGTCTAGGAGGATGATACACAGAAGATTGTATTTAGTGTTTCCCTCCTAGCATATTATGAAATGTGGTCACTTTCTCTTAAAGAGTCCCATCATTTCTCTTTCCCCAGTCAGTTCATCCCAATTGGTCAGAATCAGACGTAGATTCACAGTCTTTTCTGAAAGATAAAATGATCAACAGAACATCCTTAAAAGCCCTTCCCAGTGTCATTGTGCTTTTCCCTTTGACACTTGAAATTGAAGTGGTAACGGTGACAAAAATGTCATTGAACTGTAGTAGTAGCGACAACAAAAAGGTTATGAGAAACATGATTAGATTTGACCCAGTACCCTTCCTAGGAAATGCTGAATATGGCTGGGAGGTAGCTATCATAGCTCATGTTCACTATCGGTATTTCTGGGATTCCATTTCAGAGCCCATGGATGTCATTCTGTGTAGTTCAGGTTCTGTCACTGAAGCCCTTTGGTTTATTAAACCAGGGGTGGAGAACCTGCAGCCTGGAGGCCACATGTGGCCCTCTAGGGTGGCTCTTTGACTGAATCCAAACTTCACATAATGAAAGGATTTGTTCTGAAAAATATACTCAGTCAAAAGGCTGCACCCAAGGACCTAGAAGGCCACCCCTGGTAGACCATCCACTTCCCATATTAGGGATGGAATTTAGTGAGACAACATTTACAAGGATTTGAGGAGGAGGAGATGATCTAGATAAGGGGTGGGGAACCTGGGTTTGGATTCAAACGGCCGTACTTGAGGGCCACTTGTGGCCTCAAGGCCTCAGGTTTCCCAACCCCAGACTTTAAAACATACCAAATATGTTTTTGTCATTCTCAGCTAAGAAATCTGTTCATTTTATGGTACCACAAATTGCTGCTATGCTTACCTAGCAAGCGATCCATCTAATGGTCATATTGAATTGTACTGTATGGGCTTCTGTAAATGGTCCCTAGATTAAAACATCATATTACTGTTTCCTGACGGATTCCATACCATCTCAGCTCTCTCACTTCAAGGCAGATCGAATTACCATGCAAAATAAACATTCAACTTAGACATCAGAGTGGAGATTTGCTTCTTCCCAATTCATCTTTCTTTAATCACTGTCACTTCCTAATGATTTTTCCACCATCTTCAGATAGAATCCTGCCTTGTGACAGTCAGGTGGAACAAATCACATTGGCCATGATTGACATTGAGTTCTTATTCTTATAAATACTCCACAATCTTTTTGAGAAGAGAAGGTATTAGTATGTTTTAGCTTCAGTCCTCTGAAGTCACAGGCATTTCATCAGTGACATTTCTGTTGTTTTCCTTTACATTGTGGTTCTCCCATAAAATACTCTCTCCTTGTTCTGCTTACTTCACTGTGAAATATTTATTTTTTACAGTGCAGTAAAACTTTCTCCTCATTCAGGTAACACCCACTTTGCTTTCCAAAAGAGCTTTTTGCTCTCTGCCACCACAAAAAGTGCTACTATAAATATTTTGGTGTATATTGGAACCTTTCCCTCTGTTTTTGATCTCTTTGGTGTATATATGCCTGGTAGTGGTGTGTTACTGAGCCAAAGAATATGCATAGTTCAGTAACTTTTAGGGTATAATTCCAAATTCTTTCTAGAATGGCTAGACCAATTCACACCTCTACCCACAGTGTATTAGTATGTCTATCTTGCCACAGCCAAACAACATTTACCATTCTTGAATGTCCTTTGTTTTATCTTTACCAATTTTCTGTATAGGAGTAGAAACTTCAGAGTCGTTTTATTTTGCGTTTTCAGTGATTTGGAACAATCTTTCATATGCTTATTTATTGCATTACTACTTTTAAAAACTGCTTCATGTCTTTTTCTCCACTTATCTATTGGCAAATAGCTCTTGTTCTTGTATATTTGTATTAATTACCTATATATCTTGGTTATCAGACCTTTATCAGAGGAATTTGGTACGTAGATTTTTCCCACTTTACTGTTTCTATTCTAATTCCAACTGAATTTTTTTTGTTTATGCAAAATATTTTTTGTAATCATAATTGTCTATTAATCCTTAAATATCACCTATCCCTTATTTAAGAATTCTCCCATTAAATGTGGTTATCTAAGGTATTGTCTGCCTCTCTTCCAGTTTTTTAAGATGTGACCTTTTACATTTAGATCTTGTTATTATTTAGAGCTTATTGGTAGTATATTGTGTGAGGTGTCATTCTAGACCTGTAAAGATATAGGTCCAGTTTTCTGAGTAGTTTTTGTTGTAGGCTACTGTTTAGGTTTCTAGTGTATCTCATCTGCCTAGCCTGTGAACTTTTCTGTTTTGTTTGGTTTTTTAAATAATATCAGTTTCAATAATTATTGAGAGTTGCCTTGGCACTAAGAAGTTAATGGACTTGTACAGGATATGTCCAAGGCATGACTTGAACTCAGGTCTTTGTGATCTAAGGCCAGCTCTGTATTTACCCTTTCATACTGCCTTTCAGATTTAATGATTCATATTTATAATAAACTTTGAGACCTAGTCTCCCCTTTTACTTCCTATTATATCCTTTTATATTCTTGACCTTTTTTTCCTTTGTAATAATTAGCTAGTATTTTTATAATGCTTTAAGGTTTACAATGCACTTTCTAAATATCTCTCATTCAGATAAATTTTGTCATTTTTCTAGGTCTACTTGGCACTAAAGCTGTAAATCAATTTAGGCAGTATTATTTGTTGTCATCATATCAGCCACAC